TAGTTCAGATAGAGTTGGAGGGAGCGAGAAGGGGGGAGAGAGAGAGAGAGAGAAACAGTGACTTAAAAGGGACACATCGAGTGGCTGCCTCCCACATGACCCAACCAGGGCCAGGGACAAACTGCAACCGAGGTACGTACCCTTGGCGGGAACCAAACCTGCATCTTTCTGGATCACAGTCCGACAGTCCAACCACTGAGCCAAACCAGCCAGTTAAATTCTTTTATTAAGTCTAGTAGATTTCTGATGGAGTCTTTAGGGTTTTCTATGTACAATATCATGTCATCTGCAAATAATGACAGTTTCACTTGCCTTTTGAATCCCTTTTATTTTTTCTTCATGTGTAATTGCTGTGTCTAGGACTTTTAATACTATGTTAAATAAGAGTGGCAAAAGTGGACATCCCTGTCTTATACCCGTTATTAAGGGAAACGTTATTAGTTTTTGCCCATTGAGTATGATGTTGGCTGTAGGTTTTTCACATATGGTCTTTATTATGTTGAGGTATGATCTCTATTTCCACATTGCTGAGTGTGTGTTTTTATCAGAAATGGGTGCTGGATTTTGTCAAATGCTTTTTTAGCATCTATTTATATGATCATATGGTTTTTATCTTTAATTTTGTTTATGTGGTGTATCACATTTATTGACTTGGGAATATTGTACCATCCTAACATCCCTGGGATGAATCCCACTTGGTCATGGTGGATAACTTTTTTTGATGTATTGCTGGATCCAATTTGCTAATAGTTTGTTAAGGATTTTGGCATCTGTATTGATCAGGGATATTGGGCTGTATTTTTTTTTCTTTGTAGTGTCTTTATTTGGTTTTGGAATTAGGATTATGCTGACCTCATAAAATGAGATTGGAAGTCTCCTGTCTTCTTAGATTTTCTGGAATAGTTAGAGAAGAATCGGTTGAATCTTTGAATGTAAAGAATGGTAAAACTCCCCTGTGAAGCCAGCTGGGCCTGGGCTTTTGTTTGCTGGGAGTTTCTTAATTACATCTTCAATTTCCTTTGTTGTTATTATTGTTCAAGTGTTCTATCTCTTCCTGGCTCAGTTTTGGGAGACTGTGTGTTTCTAGTAATTTGCACACTTCGCCTAGATTGTCAAATTTGTTGGCATAAAATTGTTTATTATGTGTTTCGATGATCCTTTGTACTTCTGTGGTATCAGTTACTTCTTCGCTTTCATTTCTGATTTTGTTTATTTGGGTCCTCTCTTTTTGTTTCTTGGTGAGTCTGGCTAAAGGTCCATTGATCTTATTTATATTTTCTAAGAATCAGCCTTTTGTTTCATTGATTTTTTGAACTATAGTTTTTAGTCTCTATGTTCTTTATTTCTGCTCTGAGCTTTACTATTTCTTTCTACTTGCTCTTGGTTTTTCATTTTCTTTTTCTTTCTAGATCTTTAAGTTTTAAGGTTAGGTTAATTAGGAATTTTTCTTGTTTCTTTAGGTAGGCCTGTAGTGCTATGAACTTCTCTTTCAGGACTGCTTTTGCTGTATCCCATAGATTTTGTGTTGTGTGTTCATTTTTGTTGGTTTCCAGGAAGTTTTTAATTACTTTCTTGATCTCGTTAGTAACGCATTTGTTGTTTAATAAAATGCTATTTAGCCTCCAATTGTTTGAATATTTTTGTGTGTTTTTGTTATAATTGCCATTGTGGTCCGAGAAGATGCTTAATATGATTTCAATCTTTTTGAATTTGTAGAGACTTACTTTGTGTCCTAACATGTAGTCTGTGTTTGAGAATGTCCCATGTGCACTTGAGAGAATGTGTATTTTGTAGCTTTGGGGTAAAATGTTTTGTAAATATCAATTAAGTCCAACTGATCTAGGTCGGCATTTAAGGACTTTATGTCCTCATTAAGTTTTTGTCTGGAAGATCTATCCAGTGGTGTAAGTGGGCTGTTAAAATCACTCACTAAACTTGTATTGCTATTGATCTCTTCCTTGAAGTCCTCCAGAAGTCTTTTAATGTATTTTGGAGCTCCCATATTTGCGTATATGTTTACCAGGGTTATATCCTCTTGTTGGATTGATACTTTTAATATTATGTAGTGACCTTCTTTGTCTCTTATTATGACCCTCATTTTGAAGTCTATTTTGTCTGATGTGAGTATTGCTACATCAGCTTTTTGTTTATTTCCATTTGCTTGGTAAATTTTTTTTCATCCTTTCACTTTCATCCTGTGTGAGTCTTTCATTGTGAGGTGAATTTCTTGTAGCCACCACATATATGGGTCATGCTTTCTTATTCAATCAGCTACCCTATGGCTTTTGATTGGAGCCTTTAAGCTATTTACATTTAAAGTTATTATTGATAGATACTTATTAGTTGCCATTTTTATTTTATGCCTGTGTTCCTCTTTCTACCTCTCTGTTTCTTTTTCTTTTTCTTCTTTTTCTTACAGCAGTCCCTTAAGCATTTCTTGCAGTGCTAGTTTGGTAGTAATAAATTCCTTTAGATTTTTCTTATCTGTGAAGCTCTTTATTTCTCTTTCAATTTTAAATGATAGCCTTGCTGGGTAGCGTAGTCTTGGATTCAGACCCTTGCGTTGCATTACTTTGTACGCTTCATGCCACTCCCTTCTGGCTTGCAGCGTTTCTATTGAGAAATCAGCTGACAGTCTAATGGGAGCTCCCATGTAGGTAACTTTCTCTCTCTTGCTTCCTTCTAGAGTCTTTCTTTGTCTGTAATGTTTGCCATTTGTATTATGATGTGTCTAGTTGTGGGTCTTCTTGCTTGGGACTGTCTGTGTTTCCTGGACTTGTGTGACTTTTTCCTTTGCCAGTTTAGGAAAGATTTCTGTCATCATTTCTTCAAAGAGGTTCTCTATTTCTCTGATTCTTCTCCTTCAGTACCCCTATAATGCGAATGTTGTTCCATTTTGTATTATCCCACAGCTCCCTTGAACTCTCTTTCTGCTTTTTAAACTTTTTTTTTTTTTTTTCCATTTGCTGCTCTTTTTGGGTGTTTTTCTATACCTTGTTTTCTAAGTTGCTGATTCGGTCTTCAGCTTTTTCTAATCTACTGTTGAACCCTTCTAAGGTATTTTTCATAACAGCTATGTCATTCTTTATTTCCTCTTGATTTTTATGTATTGCTTCTACCTCTTTATGCGTAGCTTCTACCTCTTTTTTTAAGCTGAAGTAGTTCCAAGTGAGCTCTTTATAATTTTTATTAAGTTGTTTGTAGTTCTCACCAAATCATTTGAGCACCCTTATAATCATTGCTTTGAATTCTCTGCCTGACAAGTTGCTTTTTTCTAGTTACTGCAGCTTTTTTCTGGTCATTCCTCTTTTTTTTTTCATTTGTGTGTTTTGTTTTGTTTTTGTCTCACTGTTTTAACAATCTGGTAGTTCTAAGCTCGGTTAGGAATGTTGGAATGTGTAGGCAGGTCAGTGTGTACCAATTAAGGCTGCTGTTCCTCCCAGCCTGTTTTGGTGTATGACTCCTCTTGTCTGATTTGGGTCCTGGAGGGCTGATCCTTGGTGGCTGTAATTGGTCTGTCATGCAGGTCTCGGCCCCCTGAGGCTTGCTGCTGCTTGGGCTGGGGCACCGTTCTTGATCGACCTCTGCTGATGCTGCTGGATGGGTCTTAGCTGCCAATATGTGCTGCTGCTGACTGCGGTGCGTGGGTGTGTCTGGTGACCTGCTGGTGTGTGTGGGACCCACTGGTATGTTGCTGGGGTGTGTGGGGTTCCACTAGTAACCTATTGGTGTGCGTGGGTTCCACTGGCACCCTGCTGTGGTGTGTGGTTCCAGCTGGTGTCCTGCTGGGGTTCATGGGTTTTGTTGGTATGCTACTGGAGTTCGTGTGTTCCACTGGTGTACTTCTGGCGTTCGTGGGTCCGTTTGGTACACTGCTGGGGTGGTTGGGTCCTCCTGGTGTGCTGTTGGGAACCCTGCTGCCTGGTGGGGCTAAGCTCCTGATCAGTCGCTGCTGGGAGCGAGTATCAGCTCCCAGTTCACACTGGTACTGCTACTGCTACAGCTACTGCTGCTGCCAGGGGGTGCTTTCAGGTCCCTATCCTTTACTGCTATTGGGGGCTGAATATACTCCACACCTGTGATTTTGCTGCTGCTGGGGGGAGGGGATCCACTCCAACTCCGCTGCTGCAGCTTTCAGGGGCATATCTCAGCTGCCCTAGCCATGCTGCTTGGTTTGGGGCACTGCTCTTGATTAGTCTTTGCTGGTGCCACTGGGAATGGTTGCCACTGGGAATGGTTTCCACTGCCAGTCTGAGCTGCTAATGCCTGTTGTTGTTGGGGCTCTACTTCTGCCCAGTTACTGTTGCTGTGGGAGGAGGTGCTGGGCTCCCAAGCTGGTGCTAGTACCCCTGCAAGCCTGGGCGGGTTGCCTTGAGCCTGGGCGGGCTGCTGTGCTGCCACAGGCCTGGAGCCTGGCCTGGCTTCCATGTCACTGCCGGCCTGGGGCCTGGGCTGGCTGCATGCTACCACAGGCCTGGGGCCTGGGGCCTAGGTCCCGGGGCCTAGGACCTGGGGCCTGGGCTGAGTGCACACCACCATGGGCCTGGGGTCTGGCCTGGTTACACACAGCTGCGGGCCTGGGGCCTGGGCTGGGTACACACCACCACAGGCCTTGTGGTTGGCCTGGCCCGTGTGCTGCTGCAAGCCTGGGGCCTGGGCTGGTTGCGTGCCACCATGGGCCTGGAGCTTGCAGGGTCACAGTTCCGCCATGTGCCTGGGCCAGCCACCACTGCTGTTGGGGGTGGGGCTCCGGCTCCAGGCTGGTTTCGGCTACTGCTGCAGGTACCTATTGTATGCTGACCATGCCAACACAGTTGAGTTCACTGGATGGATGGTACAGGGTGCTCTAGTGGACTCAGGTTATAGGGTCCCAGCTGCTCCCCGTTTCCGCCTCCCAGCAAAGACCTGGGATCCTCAAAACTGGTGAGGCCTCCCAGCCACACTGGGGAAAGTTTGCTGACTTGCCACTTACCACGCATCTGTCTGTTTTCTGTTCACAGAACACGAACCTTCTGCCCCATGTCTCTGCACTGCTCAAGGTTGGTCTTCCATGCTCATATTCACTCACACACTCTCATATTCTCACAAACTCACCCATGGTCTGGTCTTGCCTGTTGCCATCCTATTTTAAATTTTTGAGTGTTCATTATTGGTATATAAGAATGCCATCGATTTCTGGATGTTAATATTGTATTCTGCTACATTGCCAAATTGATTTATTAAATCTACTTAGTAAATTTTTTATGGAGTATTTAGGGTTTTCTATGTACAAAATCATGTCATCTGCGAATAATGAAAGTTTCACTTTCCAATTCAGATGCCTTTTATTTTTTTCCCTTGTCTGATCACTGTGGCTGAGACTTCCAGTATTCTATTGAATAAGAGTAGTAAAAGCATACGTCCTTTTGTTCTTGTTTTTAAGGGAAATGCTTTTAGTTTTTGAACATTCAGTATAATGTTGGCTGTAGGTTTGTCATGTACGGCCTTTATTATGTTGAGATATGATCCTTCTTTTCCCACTTTGCTGAGCATTTTTATCAGAAATGGGTGCTGGATTTTGTCAAATGCTTTTTCTGCAGCTATTGATATGATCATATGATTTTTATTTTCATTTTGTTTATGTGATGTATCACATTGATTTGCAAATATCCTAGCAGCCTTGAGTTCTTGGGATGAATCCCACTTGGTCATGGTGAATAATTTTTAAAATACATTTTTTCAGATATTTTTACAAGGGTTATATTTTCTTGTTGGATCGGTCCCTTTAGTATTATGTAATGACCTTTGTATCTTGTTATGGCCTTTGGTTTTAATTTTTTTTAGATACAAGATTTGTTACCCCAGTTTTTTCATTTCAATTTAAATAGAATATTTTTATGTCCCTTCACTTTCAGTCTGTGTGACTCTTATGTGGTGAGTTTCTTGTAGATAGCACATATATGGGTCATGTGTTAGTATTCATTCAGCTGCACTGTGTTTTGATTGGATCATTTAATCCATTTACATTTAATGGTACTTATTTCTCTTTATTTTTTTCTTTAGCAAAAAAATTTCTCTCACTCTCAATTTCTTCTACGTAGAGTCATCCCTTTAACATTTCTTGTGTTGCTAGTTTGGTAGTAATGTATTCCTTTAGCCATTTTTGTCTGGTAAGCTCACTCTTTCACCTTCAATTTTAATGATAGCCTTGCTGGATAGTGTAGCTTGGTTTCAGGTCTTTGCTTTCCATCACTTTGAATACTTCATGTTAATTTCTTCTGGCCTAAAGTGTTTCTGTTGAGAAATCATCTGACATTCTAATGGGAACGCCCTTGTAGATAACTTTCAGTCTTTCTTGCTTTCTTTATGATTCTTTGGTTTTAACGTTTTTCATTTTAATTATGATGTCTCTGTGTGTGTCTCTTTGGGTTCATCTTGGTTGCGAATCTTTATGCTTCCCAAACTTACATGACTTTCCTTCACTAATTAAGAAAATTTACTGTCAGTATTTTTTTAAATAGTTTCTCTATTCCTTGTTCACATTCTTCTCCTGGTAAACATGTCTTTTGTATGGGTTATTTGGGTTCTCCTTTTTTAATTGGGTCTTGATTATTGTTGTGCCATTTGTGTGTTGGATCTCCCCTCAGGCTGGCTGACAGGCTCAACCCTGACCACACTGTGTGAGCTGTTGTGCAGGTGCTGACAGAACAAAATAAAACAAGAGATAAAGTAAAAACATACAGAAAACCCCAACAACAACAAGAATAACCAGTAAGAAAAGAGAATTAGGAAATAGAAAAGAGAATAAGAATAACAAAAGACAAGAAATACGAGAACAAAAAGGGAAAAATAAGAATATGAACTGAAAGAAGGGTGAGAAAAATGTAAGGATAAAGAATAGGAAACGAAAAATGGTATAAAAATAAAGAGGAAGGAAAAGAGACGAGAAAGAAGAAATAGAAAATAAAAGGTAAAAAGACAAGAAAAATAGAGTATGAGAAGTAAAGAAAAATTGAGGTATTAAAGGACAAAAATAATAACAAAGCAATAAAAAATACTATAATGCAAAAAAGAAAAAAAGTGAAGTGGAGTTTGTCTCTGCAGAGTTCAGTGCCTCCTGGGAGCTCCCTTTGAGTCATGCTCTTTTGTTGACTGAGGCTGACTGTTTTTTATGTCATTTCTGGACCTCCTGGGAGGCATTTTGGTGCTAGCCACTGTCAGAAGTTGTCCATGTTTGGCTCTTGGCAACCTTTTTAAAGCTTCAAGTGATCCACAGTTTGTGGCTTCCTCCACAGGGCTTGGTTGCACATGGTAGAGGCCAGGCTGTGCTTTAGGTCCAGCTTGTTAGCAGTACAATGCCCAGGGGCAGATCAGCAAAAGTGCTTAAGAACCTCAGGATCTGCCTCCATCTGCTTCCGCCTGCTGGGCAGCTTGCCAAACTGAAAGGCTGTTTATGAAAGGGCTTTCGGCAGAACTGGGAGGATGAGACCTCTGAGTCTCCTAGTGAGGGGAAGATGGCAGGTGTGTTGCCCTGTCCCAGAGCCACATGTCTGAATCTGTCCCGAAATATTCCCCTGATCTTGGAAGAGTGGAGCTCCTCATATGCAGTCTGGTGGGGTCTGCTGGAAGCTGTGAGTTTCTGTCAGCTGTCCTATGAGGAGTAAGTACCAGTCAGGGTCCTAGGATAGTGGGGGGAATGGTCTGACCCCAAAGCCAGTCACTGATGCCTCCTGAGACTGTTCCGACCTGTAGGAATGGCCTCTGCTGCTGCCTCCTCAGGGGTCAAGGTACAGGGTGGGGCAAGTGGGATTCCTGATCATGGGGAAAGCCATATCCCCGAGGGCAGGATATTTGCGTTTCCCCATGCTCTTGCTGCCAGGAGGGGCTTGCACCTTTCAGAAGAATATGGCTGCTGGTATGTGTCAGTAATGACCAAGCACAGGTATCCCAGCTGCTACTTTTCCACATCTTCCCCCAATGCCTCCCACCCCAGGGTCTCCTAAGGTGACTCCAGTCCCCTCTGCCCTCCCTCCATTGAAACCTCAAGTGAGTGGCTGTAAATGAAAATCCTATCCTCTAGTTTTTGTTTTTTTGTGTTGTGTTTTTCATTAAGTGGCTTCATCTTCGACAGGTTCCTTCCCTCCCTGGAGGATAGAAACCCTACTGCCTTTCATGGCTAGATGTTATGTGGACCACTGTTCTTGGCTCTGGTTCTCTGGGCTGGGGAGTGCAGCCTGGGTTCAGGGCCTCCATCCTCTCAGGATAAACCCCAGAGAGCTGAAATATCCCTCCTCATCCTAATCCTGTCACCTATGAGAGCCAGGCCAGTCTCTGTCATGACCCTGTCCTTCCTACCAGTCTTGAGGTAGTTTCTGCCCTTCCTTGTTCTTGAAAAGTCTCCTCTTCAGCTAGTCTTCAGTTGGGAATTCAGGATGGATGTTCCATAGTTTAGTTTTATTTCCACTTTTGTTCTTGGAGGAGGTGCAAGAAGGATCCACCTACTCCACTGCCATCTTGAACTACCACCCCCCTCCCTAGAATTTCTATATGGTTCTTTTTTACAGTCTCTCTTTTTGTTGTTGAGATTACCTTATTCATTGAGTCATTATCATGTTTTCTTTTAATTCTTTAAACATAGTTTCCTTAATTCTTCAAATAGTTTTATAATAGCGGATTTGAATTCTATTAAATCCAACATTTGTTCTCATTCTGAGTCTTTCTGTTCACTGATATTTTTCTTGATCATGGACCACATTTCCCTGTTTTTCTTTCTATGTCTCATAATTTTTTGTTGACAACTGTTTAATATATTTTTGATAATATATTGTAGAAAATCTTGTTCTGGATTCTTCCCCTAAGGAGATTGGTTGTTGGTGGTGGTTTTTTAGTAATTTTTCTGGACTTATTCTGTATAATATCTCCCTTGTAGTTTGTACATTATTGTTATATTTGTTTTTGGATTTTATTTCCTAGGGTTTGCACCTGTGTCTAACATAGCTAAGTGGTCGATGATAGGTCAGAGATGCTCAAACACCTCTGAACTAGTAAGGCTTCTACCCTCTGCCAGTGTATGTGTGTTGATTTGGGAGTGCATTTAAAATTCAGGCAGTTTTCAAGTTTGCCTCACCTTTTGTTTTTCACTAGGCCCTCTTGAGTCTCCCATGCAGGTTCCTTTAGCTCCCTATCAGCAAAGGCTATGTAGGGAGCTTATGTCGCCCTCTGATGCCTCTCTGATTTCCAGATCTTTATCTTTAATTTCTGACTAGTTCTCCAGTCTACAGTTTATCCCTACCAAAATTGCAACCTGAGGTTAGCATCGCTGCTGTCTTTTACAGTGTTTTCTAACAAGTTTGCTACTTTTACTGTCAGTGCTCTATTTGAGTTTTTCACACTTTGCTCCAAATAAGTTTAGCCTCTTCCAGCAGTGAAGCACTGTTTTTCATAGTTAGCCCTGTCCTTGAAGAACTTCCATACAACTAAACAGTGGGTGGAGATGATGAGAATAGCTTCAGGTGAGGATATCACAGATTATCAAACTTCGTTCAGCTGGTATACATAAATATATACTTCTCAACTTAATTGCCTGTGTCTGAACCCTGAATGGTTGTTTTTGAGGATTTTGTTCAGTTTTATACCTGTCTCTTGAGAAGACTTTGCTAACCTCTATCCTGCCATTGGCAAGAAATTCCTGTCTCTGGTTTAGTTTTTTTTTTTTTTTTTTATGAATTTTTATTTATTTTTTTGTTACAGATATTTTACCTTTTTACCTCATTGGCTCCACCCACCCCACCCCACCTCCGCCCCGTCCCCGGCTTAGTTGTCCATGTCCATTGGTCATGCATACATGCATATAAGTTCTGTGGTTTATCTCTTCCCACCCCCCCACCCCCTCTTCTGAGGGATGTCAGTCTGTGTCCTACTTCCATGTTTCTGGATCTACTGTATTCCTCAGACTGTTATGTTCATTATATTCCGTATATAAGTGAGATCATGTGGTATTTGTCTTTTTTCTGCTTGGCTTCTTTCACTTAGGATAATACTTTCCAGGTCCCTCCATGTC